GCAGCCGCCCAGCTCGAAGTCGCCAGACGTCTGCCGCATCGCATTGCCATGTCCGCCTCGACCACCACCACCTCCAGTCACCCGAGCGCTGACCTCCAATCGATGGCTAGGGTTCTTCGATTGAGGTAACGAGGAAGAACACGGGAGAGAGAAACCGGTGAGGGAGATAGAGAGAAGACCGTGGGTTCAATACCTGTTCGGTTGAGTTAAAGATTGATGGGACCCAGGGGTATTTTGGTCCAATACAGAAATACAAGTGCTGCAAGTGGGTTCAAGAAGGCTTCATACGTAGAAAAGGGCAAAGCTCAGGGAGGGCAAGAATACGAAGGGCAAATCTCCAATTCCTCGAATTGTAAGGGCAAATCTCCAAACTTCTGAAAATTGTAAGGGCAAGAATCCAATTCTCCCTAATAAAATCCAGAAATTTGGAATCCCCTACTACTCAATGTATTCTTTGGATTACCCTACGAGAAGATAAATAACTTCACGAAGTCACCACTAACCTTTAGGAGGTATGTGAAAGCTGATCTGTAGCACAAAAGGTGTTGGAGGGTAAACAATGCAATGATATACATGGAAGAATGGAATACATGATCAGACAAGCTTGCACAAGAGAAAAACTGCTATTAGCATTGGTCTTCAATCACTACTGGCTGAAAGATTCTCTTTCAATTAGATACTGATTATTCCAGATGCCTCAGCGACGCTGGTCTAGTTGAGACGGTGTAACCTGGAAGATGGTAACCAAGGAAAATGAACAAATATATTGAAATATATCGAAAGAAAGTGCAACGAATTTTGTGGCCTGAAGAACTTGCATTTAACCAAACACAAATTGCAAGCATTTAGAAAGAAGCAAACCTAACAAGATCACCTTGGATGTGGCGAGCGTGGCAGAGTCCACGAGCAGCAAGTATGGGCGTCCGCCGCGGGCTCCATGGCGGCATGGCGGAGGTCCTCGATGAGCGTGACTGAGTCGACGTGGATCAAGCGCCTACAGACGGCCGGGTGGGCCTCCTGCCGCTTCGCGTTCGACGCAAGTGGAGGAGTGGTTACCTGGTGCACTCTGAAGGCAAATCGAACTCCTTGAAGCACCAGCTCCTCTTCGTCAGGGCCAACTTGTATGGAGGCAACCTTTCTCCGATAGGACTATAGGAGTACTTCTGAACATTTTGAGAAAACTATAGTACTTGTAGAAAAGAAAAGAAAGAAACAAAGCCCAAATCTACCCAAGTTGCCACTGATAATGCCGCACACGCTAGCACCTATGACCATCTTGGAAACCGTCGTGGGCCGTATAGGGTCATTTTGGAAACCGTCGAGGACCGTATAGCTAGCTAGTGTCCTTCCGTCGGCCAGGTCTTCGGCTCCTCAAACGCGCAACGCAACACAGTTTGTTACCCCCGCCGCCGCCTTCTTCGCCTTCGACGTTTGAGGGAGAGCAAAGCATGCCAGGCAGCGGCGATGACCGCAATCGCAGTTGGTTTTTGGAACGGTTTCCGCCCTTCCCTGCTTCTGTTATCGTGTTTTTCCACAAATACAAGGACCTCCTCGGGGAGATGTTGTCTGACCTAAGTCATGCATATTCCGATACACGAAAGGATGGACGCCCTTGGAAAGGTGCGTTCAGTTGCCTTTCCTGTTGTCATTTGAACTTTCACATGAACCCTATCGTCGTGCCTTTTAGAATCCCTGATGATATTCCCCAATCTGTATCGACGATCAAAGTATACAATGTTCAAGCATCGTAACCCCTTTTCAGAAATTGAAAGAACACGAGCTGTCTAAATCGCCTTCGGTACACACCAGCGAAGACGAGGAGGACTAGGAGGACGAGGACGAGGACGAGGACGAGGACATGGAGGGAGGAAGAGTGAAGGTTTGTATTGTCCTCTATAAATTTCAATTGATATGCTAGCATACTAGATTTTGTGCTGGCAGAATCCGTAGATTGCATTCGGTTTGCTTAGCACTGTTAGTAACTTCTTAGGCTGCATTAATGTTTTTCAGTTGATAGATGATGAAAGGAAACCTCGTCGTGCTGAAGAACATCAGGTCTATAGTGAATCTGAAAGAGAATGCAAGAAGCCAAGATTAGGTGAATGCGTTGAGAAGCCTGAGGCTCGAGAAACAAAATAGTCGGAATAATCCTTTTACCCGACAATGATTTATGTTCCCACTTAGTAGTTATTATGCACAATCAGAATTCTAGACTTCCCTAGTAAGGTGGACTTCTCTTAGTGTTTTAGCATTAAAAATTATAGACTTCCCCTACTAAATGACTCCTAGTGTGATTCTCATGTGCTATGACTAGTGGTAGTATTTTATTACTACTTAAAAACACTAGGAGAAGTCTATCATTTTAGTAGGGATGGCGCACTCTATTCTAATGCATTATTTTTATATAATGTTCTTGTTAATTTGGCTATAATCAGAGTCAGGTTGGTATGGTCGGTTGTTCCAGCATTCGTGCGATTAAGCATGCTGTACCTTTTTCGTGAGTTTCGATATACCCTGCTCAACAGTCAAACCGTGTTAGCTTGGTGATCTAGATTAACTAGAGTTGCTATGACAATAGTTTTCAAATTGACCTCACTAGATATACTATCCCTCCGTTCAAATTGTACGTTTTTTCTAGATACTAGTGGTCATGCACCACGTGTGGTTATGCGATACATTTACATTCATGAGTTGAGATAATACAAAAATAACCTTGGATGTTTTTTTTTCATTCAAGAGTTGAGTTGATGCAACCAATTTGGCTGCATTTATCACATTCTCCAAACAAGCCCTTATGGTTCCGTTCGCTTCGCTGAAAAAACAAGCTGAAACACTGTTCCGACTGATTTGTTGTGAGAGAAAAATACTGTTCCGACTGAAAAGACAAGCCGAAAAGCATTGGTATTCATGTCTTAGGGCATGTACAACCCACAGATATGGTATCGTCTATAAAAGTTTGAGTCTGATATACACAGCTAAAAAGACATATCATACAATGGACTATAGGTTTAATGTTTTCCATATAGCCAAGATAAATCATGAAAACCCTTTTGCTACCATTGTGTTGCTATTTGATAGAAAATGGATCAAGCTCTTCATTTTTAGAACAGTAATGATATGTTCAAAGGAACGTATTTGGTTCAAACATACCATACATTGTAATAGGTGCCAAACAGCCAATATATAATTTCAGTTATCAGAAAAATATCACCATACATTCCCTCAAGGAAGTATCACCACACATTCCCTCAAGGAAGTATTTGTTCATATGCCATAACTACTGATATCTGAATAGAAGAGTTTCATGTTTGATAATTGTTTCATGTTTCATTCAGCTTGTCTCCAGACAATTAATTAAAATTACAGCTTGTTTCATCTAGCCAGGTCCTTGTTCTTCCTAGCCAGCTTCTACTATATACTGAAATCGGTGTTTCAGTAGTTGAACTGATTTGCTAACCAGCTAGGGACGGGCCCACAGTATTCAAGAGTATTCATTTGAATACCAATTTTTTTCGATAATGCTTCCATGCGGGCGTTTGTCGGTCCAGACGCTACGCGCCACACTCTGCCTCGCGCCGCGACGGTTGCTCTCTCCCTTCGCTCGCCTCGAGCGTCGTGCGGCCTGCCCTCCGCACCCCCATCCTACGCATGCTGCCTCTGCTCTCTCTATCTCTTGCTCTCTATCTCGCGTCCACTGATAGCAAAGCGCCTCCCCGGACTCTTCCCCATCCTCCAACGCCGTTGGTATGCCTCGCCGTAGCTCGCCTCGGGTCATCACCGGGCAGGCCAAGGGCACCCACGAGCGTGGCCTGATGCTAGTGGTGCTTGCACATCGCCACTCGCCGCCGGCTCCCACCTCGACGGCCGAAATCGATCGGCCCATGCCTCCTCCTCCCCTATGTTGCAAATATATGTTTCGAGTGTTTCAGATGTTTCAGAGGTATATTACAATTGTTTCATATGGACATTGCAAAAATAGATCGGGAATGTTGCACATGTTTGCATATGTTGCAATTGTTTTAGAGGCATGTTGCAAGCGTTTGTTCAAGATGTTTCAACCGTTCCAAGACGTATGTTGCAAGCATTTTGATCTGGATGTTGCATATGTTTCACACATATGTTGTAAACAGTATTTTTCAAATGTTTCATCTGTTTCATATTATGTTGCAACAAGTGTTTTTATGTTGCAAGTTGCAATTGTTTTATCTACATGCTACATATGTTTTATCTATTTCAGACGTATGTTGCATTCAAGCGTTTTATGTTGCACGTGTTCCATATTGTTCAAAGAGTCAGGGGTGCGAGGATTGATGGTGGCACGGCATGGGCGCCGGGGAATAGGGGGTGTCGAGCCGGGGACCAGTGGACGTGGCGCCGCGCTGCTAGGGCCTGGCGGTTGGGGTGCGACGGGGCGGGGTGCGCGTGTAGGGCGGGGTGAACAGCCAGGAGGATGGGGACAGGTCGAATCGAAGCGGACGGGGCCGGACTGCACGTGCAAGGCGAGTCATCCGGACGCAGGGGTGCCCGTGCATGGCGGGGCAAATTAGCGAACGAGGGCAGGCTGCACGCGTGTCCGTTCGGGCGCTAGCCACTTCGAAATTTTTTAGCAAAAAAACATATATATAGTGTATGTATAAGTCTGTATATGGAGAAAAACAAAAATACAGCGAACTCATATATATAGTGTATGTATAAGTCTGTATATGGAGAAAAACAAAAATACAGCGAACTTGAACAAGAATACAGCAAATCAGCCCAAAATAACATCTTTCTACCCGTTTTCCTCCCCCACCCGAAGCCCCAACGAGGTCCAGCGGCCCATATTCTCACCCGCGAGCCAACAACGCCTGCTCCCAACTCCTCTCCCCCACGCTCACCCGTGGTCCACGGGAGTCGGAACGGAAGCCGCACGCGACTCAGCGTTTTCTCCCTGAACTGGCGTCCGGCGAACCAGTCTAGCTTCGAGTGGCGGCGCCTTGGTGGCCGTCCGGAGAGCAAGCATGGCAGGCATCCCATCAGGTGAAGGCAGCGGCGATGCCAGGGATCGCAGTATCCCGGTTTCGGAATTGTTTACGCCTTTCCCTTCTTCTGTTACCAAGTTTTTCTGCGAATACGACTTGGACCTCATCGGAGAGATGTGGTCTGGCCTTAGTGATCTTCCGTTTGACGAAGGGTTAGAGGCCCATGGAAAGGTGCGTTCAGTTGCTTTTCCTGTTGCCATGCTTCAGTCATTTGAACTTTCACACGAACCCTACTAGCTATTGTCGTGCCTTTTATAATCCCTGGTATTCCTCAATCTGTATCGACGATCAAAGCATACTAAGATCAAGCATCCTAATGCCTTTTCAGAAATTGGAAGAATACTCGCTGTCTAAAGCGCCTTCAGTACACACCACTGAAGACGAGGACGAAGACGAGGAGGACGAAGATGAGATCATGAGATGGACGAAGACGAGGAGAAGGACATGGAGGGAGAAACACTGAAGGTCTGTATTGTGTTCTATAGATTTCAGTTGATATGCAAACATACCAGTTTTTGTGCTGGCAGAATCTGTAGTTTGCGTTGGGTTTGCTCAACACTTTTAGTAACTTCTTAGGCTAATTTGTATAACGTTAATGTTTTTCAGTTGTTAGATGATGGAAAGAAACCTGTTTGTGCTGAAGAACAACATCAGGTCTATAGTGAATGTGAAAGAGAATGCAAGAAGCGAAAGATTAGCTGAATGCTTTGAGTGCCATGGACACGGAGAAGAAGCCTGAGGCTCGATAAACAAATAATCCTTTTAGCCTGCAATGATTTATGTTCATTATTAAAGCGCACTGGTTTTTATTGGACTCTTATCATCTATCTAATGCATTATATTTATAATGGTCTTGTTCATATCAGCTGCAAAACTCCACGTAATTTGGCCCACTGTACATTTGTATTTGTTTGGTGATACAAAAGCATATCAGAAGTTAGTCCTGATTGTGTATTGATAATAGAACTTTTTTATTATGGTTGGGGAGGCATCAGGAAGCGTTAGATGTGTCTATGACTGATGGGCCCATATGAGGGAAGGCGTTGGGAGGCATCAATGAGAGAGGCGTCGGGAGGCGTTAGATGTGTCTATGATTGGTGGGCCCATATACGCCGTAACGCCTCACAATGCCTCCAACGTTAAGGGGATTAGGACTCCAAATAAAAAAGTGGCAATTCTATTTTCGTAGTTCTTTTATTTAATCAAGGGTAAAAGGGTAAATTTATAATTATAAAATTAATATTTTGGGTAGTATAGTTAGGATGTATGATTTAAGTACTAAAGTTAGATAATTTTTTTTGAGTAGTATAGTTGGCATGAATAATTCAAGTAGTATATAGTTAGATAAACATAACATTTTATTTCTAGGGTTCATCCAGGCCACCTCCTCCTCAGCCGCCGCCGCCTACCTCCGCCGGTGCTCCCGACCTTGCGCCAGGACATCCAGGCCGCCGAGCTGCGTGGCCCGCTCGGTCGGCCTCCTCCGGGCGGCTGCCGGATCGGGCTGCCGGGGGTGCTGTACTGGAGCAGCGGCGACGGCGGCAGAAGCAGGCTGCTTGCGGCGCGGGCGCGCGGCAGGAACAGGTTCAGTGGCGGAGGGCGGGGAACGACCAAGGATGAGGCGGCGGAGGAGGACGAGGAGCAGGCCATCGACGTGGTGATCGTCGACGCAGGGGACGACGAGGAGTACGCCTCCGACGAGGTGTCTGGGTTCAGGGGCCTCGTTCTTGATCTCTCTTACAGGTGCGATCACAATCACACACATGTATGGGTCCACGTATTAGAGACATGCGGATCTCATATACTTCAGTTTCAGCACACAATGAAACTTGAAAAAGGCTTAAATCATCTCTTTTGCTAGAGAATCAGATCAAAATTGTGGAATGTTTTGCGCATGTATCAAGAAGCAACATGCATGGTTTAACATCAGTTGCAGAGTTACAGTTCTTAAACTGGTGGTCTGTTTCATAATACCTTGAGCCTTTGGGCCTTCTTGTTCCAGTGTCACTAATAGCTATACTGATGTATTGTACATCCTTTTTATTTGCTTTTCGAGTACGATCAACCACATAATTTCTGCATGAAATTTCTATTTCCACAAGGCACTTCTGTCATCAGATTTCGATGCACTTAGCTGGAATTTGATCCTCAAGTGTGCTGAACTGAAACTATACTCTGCATTCAGGCCTCTGGTGTTGTTCAGGTTCCACAGTTGGTCAGGTAGTAAAGAGACGAAGAGTCAAGCAGAGCCTTAGTCGTAAAAACATTCTTTACATACTCAACGGCTTAGTGTCTGCACCGCCACATTAAGCTCCATTCTGTTGAATCTTCTGTATTGCAATTTATTTCATTTTTTTTAGAATGCTCAACGGATTGGGATCTAAAGAGTGAATGTTTTGCAGCGTTTCCGTGAATTGCTCGAATGTACTTTTGTGACGTGGTTACAGAGTATTTAGAATGACCAAGATATCTGATATTTAGAATGACCAAGATTTCTGACAATTTTCGAAAAAGTTTGCTGTATGTTGGCACATGTATTTTACAGGACGTGGACAGGTGGGTGACCAATTTGAATCAAGTGACATACGTACAGGTCGCTCATTCATATATATAGACCAAGTGGAGATTTCAAACATACGTACAGGTTTGAACATTCAAACAGAGTAACAAAGAATATTAAAGGGTTCCATCTGATATACGGCATAAATAAAAATGAAACACATAGATCACCTCTCCCTGAATCTTCTAGCTTCTTTCAGTCAACTCTAACAGGAAACTAACAAAAAAAAAGAACAGCTGCCCCTACTTCCTACATCTTCTGCATTTTCTCAAAGAGGATATTGTTCTAATGAAATCAACTACTGCAAGCTACTGAATAAACGATCAAAATTTTGCTAAAATGCAGAAAGGCAATGCCCACTGCTATGTGGTTGTTCTCTGACTTCTGCGGCATACTTCAGAAATCGGCATACTTCAGCAAGACTTTTATTCAAGCAGGCCATCGGCATACTTCAGCAAGACTTTTATGCAAGCCACAGAATTTGTGTCCATCGGCAGAGCACTCAAGCTGAGGAAACAAGCACTACCCATCTGTTAAAGACAGCTAACAAGCACTGTAAATAAGATTGAAAACTAAATGTGGGGACTTGCCTGCAGGTTCTGGTTCAGTAAAGGGAAAAATAAAAATAAAAAAACAGAATCTAGATTTTGACACTGATGAATTCTCAATGGAAAAGCATATAGCGACAGCTATTTTTATTCTTAGACCTTATAAGGCCCAACATTATGCATGGGACATGTCAGATGACCTGGTTATCAAAATAAATAGTAGTGCCGCTTGAAACATTATGCATTTACATGTTCTTCCAATCAAGACCCTTTCTTCTGCAGGGATTAGTGTGTTAACTCTACCAGCAAATCCACCATTTCAGCAAACACTACAGTAGTAGTGTTATTTACTTCCATTCAGCTTACTCAATCAGAGATCAAGCTTCAAAATAGATAAATAACACACTGCAATTTACAGCTTCAAGGCACAATACATTGTAATTTACAGCTTCAAGGCAAAGGTATGGTCTACTATTTTAGTAGAGAATCACTCCAGAAGATAGTAACTGAGTAGCTTTAGCAAATAGCTCAACATACTGACACTCAAGTAGCACAAATTGTAAAATATCTCATACTCCATAGAAAACCTCTCAAAGATCATGGAGATCCCAAGATAGCTAAGAAGTTCATATCAGAAGTAACAGAAAATGACTGATGATATTTTTCCAAAGAATATTCTTTTTCCTGTGGTCTGATCTGCCATTCCTTGCAAGGTAAGGAAAAGGCAGGTTTGAAACAACAGAGCTTACAACCTAGCATAAAAAAAACCCCTCAAACACTTGGAACAAGATCCAAATAAGAAAACCATGCACAATTTTAGTCTCACCAAATTCAAGATTCAAACTTAGAACCTTCAATAACATTAGCTGTAGTGGCCTCTTTATATCCTTTTGGATTAAATGGACGTGGCATCTGGACATCAGAACAGATCATAAATGCATTCTTTTACAGGAATGAACAGGCCATAATGAATTGTTTGTAAGGAATTGAACACATAGGTGAATTGTTTTACAGGAATTGCATTTCCCTAAGTCTCACCACTTTCCTCACTGTGTTTTTATGCTAGCAAACAAAACTTTAAAGAAGTCACAAATTTAATTGCTTCAAGATTTAATTAATCAATTGGATTCGACTGGACGCTGGATGGGCACTTGTCCAGTGAAAATCTTTTATTAGGCAGCTGAAAACTTTAGAATCAACTCCCATCGTTTTTTGACCTTGACTGCTCAAAAGGCTATGATTAACAGTACAATTGACAATAAAGAGCATTCTAAAAAGCCTAATCACTAGGAAGAGTTCACCAACTATGGTTACCAAAATCACGCATTATAACAATTTAACCATGAGGCTTTCCTTGTGGTCTGTCAATCCCTATAGTGCACAGTGAACACTGGTTTGAAACAACAGAATCTACTATCTAGCAAACCCATCAAATAATTGGAACAAGATTCAAATATGAAATCTAAACACTCTTCTAATCTTTCTAGCCAAAATTAAACGTCCATCCATGTTTGAACCTTCTTTAGCGGCAGTTGTAGCAGGATGTGTCATCAGGATATCAGGTGCCCCCCTGGATATTACTACATGTTCGGATCACAATGAGTGTTGCTGTTCTATATATGAAACCTGACAAAGTGAGCTAACATATGAAACCTGACAAAGTGAAAGTTGTTGTTCTATATATCCAAAGGAGGCCTTAGGAGATTTGCCAATCGGTGATCTGAAATGAAGTTGGTCATGGGCCGGCCATAAGATAGCAGCTTATTGTGCCTTCTCTCTGATCCTCTGTTGTAGCTATCTAACAATTCCTTTTCTATTCAGCCATGTATCATTCCAATCTTGCAGTACAACTGAATACTAACCTGATAGGGCTACTGCCGGCAGGTAATTTTGGAACATAGAGCTAGATAACAGTGAGTTGTAGATCATTTCGTTGTGGTATTCTACCACAAGATACAATTGTGTAAACAAGATTCTGGTAGTTTCTACCCACTCCGGCCACGTTTGGAATACATGAATTTCTTGTCAATTTCTTTGTTGGCATCTAGATAGAGAAAAAGGCAACGGGTTCTCATGTATATGCATGCTTCTAATCTACAAAATTTGCAAATGATGGACACCAGCTTTAAGTTAATCTCATACAGATCTGAAAAGAACAACTAATTATTAAAGCCCAGGTGCCACGTGAAGGAACATCCAATGCTACAAAATGCAACGAAATGAATAGCAGAGCAATTGAATGGGAGAAGCGATGCCTCCTGCTACGTGGGCGCCGATAAGCGCCATGGCCAGCCTTGATATTCTCGCCGAGGCGCCCGGTCTGCAGGGGCGGCGTGGCTGGCAAGGGAAATGAGGGCACAGCGATGATGATGAGCGAGTGACAGGGCGGCCTGGCTGCCCATGACGCCGCGGCAGTCTGGCGTCTGGGCAGCTAATGAGGGAGAGAAAACATGGCGGCGGCGGCGGCCGACGCGAGCGAGGTGCGTGCGACTTTGGCCGGCATGGGGTCTTGGGGGCGAGGGCGGGGGGCGGGATGGGCGCCCGGTCTTTGTGGGAGGCGGATGTCGGGCAGGCATTTTCCGTTGCTCACGTGGTGCGTGGGGGGCTGGGAGGTGGGCGTGGGCGGGCTGGGAGGTGGGCCGACGGGGGTGGTGAGTTGGCTTTGCGAAATGACTATAATGCCCTTGAACGAATAAAATCAATAAAAATAGATATTTTGGGTAGGCATCAGGAAGCGTCAGCAAGCGTTAGGAAGCATTTTCAACCATCGTAAAAGGGCTCTTGATAATATGTCAGATTACGAAACTTATCAAGATCAACAGCGCATGTATCTCTAAAATAAAAAATACATGCTCAGACCTCCTACATGCTCTTATATATATTAAAAATAAAGAATTCGGCTGTAAGGCACACGCCACTACACAGGAACAACATTCATGCCACTCAACAAGATGACTGAGAATGTGAGATATAGCATTTGGCCAGGTAAATAGACGTTTCCACTATGCTATATTGACGGACTGCTATAAATACATGTGTTTTAACTTCTGCCAGCGAGCCTTTGCTGTTGCAGATGTTGGTTTTGGCTTCCCCGTTGCTGGAAGGTTGACGCCTTCTCCTTCAACTCCTGAAAGGCGCGCATCGTATCACTGTCGAAACCGCCTGCAAACTGCAAGGAATGGTAGGGCTGAGCACAACATACAAGTTTGAAGAGTTGATCATATCAACTCTTTGTGTACATGAGTAAGTGGAGTGGTTACCTGGTGTACTCTGAAGGCAAATCGAACTCCTTGAAGCACCAGCTCCTCCTCTTCGTCAGGGCCAACTTGTATGGCCTCAAGCTCTGAGGAAACCCTTCTCAGATACTTCAATGCTAGCTTCACGGATTGCAATTTGATCTGCATAAGACTCGGTTTGTCATCAAAACGCCATTTATGTTTGAGGAAGTAAATTCTGTAAGGATATATAACTGTATCCACAAAAATAGGCTGGTCAAGTGTAATTTGCTGTTAGGTTTAAGGGCTTAAGCTTATCCCAGTAATTGAATGCAACACAAACGATAGGGGAACTAGATATTTGTTTAACAAACATAAAAAGTCACTCTTAGATTTCAGTTCACTATTAACATCAAAAGAAATACAAGTGTACACAACACTCATTGATTCGTGATGCACACCGATTTTCTCTCTCAAAGATTTAGGGTGTGATGATCAATTGAGCAAACCTATGCTACTATGCTAGGCTCAATCCAGCTGCTTATGCACAAGCACAATTACAAACTTGCCGTTTACCCAAAAGTTTACACTAACCCATTTCTGAAGACTTTTTCCGAGGGAGAAACCAACGGTCGGTAGCTGTGCTGAATAATACAAGAAGGTAGCAAGCTTTTGTCTCCAATCACCTTTTTTCTAAAATAAAATGTCTAACATGAGCCAGAATAGAATAACAGAGTGTTTGGTACTTTTTGTTTTTGTTCAGCTCAAAATTCATGGACCATGCTTCTGGACCAAAAAATCAGAAGGGTACATGCAGAAACAAAACTGATTCACGAGAATCCCTGACTAACACTGGGTTTCACAGCACATGGCCACCACAGTTGATATGGCCTTTTTTGGTCCCAAAAATACCAGGTTTGCGTACATTTATTTTTGTGTTGGTACCACAAGTTGCAAACGACAGAAAACATATGCCGGACCAAATAACAGCACAGCACAGTACTAATTTGACCCCCGATATTCATCAGGACATCATCATACAGAAACAAAATAGATTCACGAGAACCCCTGGCTCACACGTGCATTTCTTAGCATATCACAACAAGAAACAAAAGCTACTATTGGTCCCAAAATACCAAATTGCCCAAAATTCTTCATGTTGGCACATGAGTGCGTCTCATAGTAAATATTATGGATTTTGTTCCTGCCCTATTCGTCTACAAGTGCATGAAACACAGCAGCAATATACATGCTCATCTAACCATTTAGAGTATTTTGGGGAAAAGGAAGAATGGTTAAACCCAATGATGTTCATTAACTCAGTCAACATGTTTTTTTCCTAGTGAAAACGAATTAACTTGCAGTACCTGACTAACAATTCCCGTGTCCTGCATCCACTCCCATGGGATCTGATACCCACGGTACCGGCTCATCGCGCCATCTCGCACACGCACAAGGCTGTACACTCCATGCTCCAACCTGCTAACGAAACGTCAATGAGCCCAAGAACAAGCAAAAACAACTGAACGTCAATTGCCGACACCAGAAGGCAGAAGCTACAGAGTGTAACTTACTTCTCGAAGAGGGCCTGCATCTTCTTGAGAGCAGAAGAGCAGGGCTGCCGGGGGTCATCACAGAACGATGACGCCTCCGACTCAATCTTCTTCAAGTCGCGGTAGCCGAAGGCAGCCTCACGCAGCGCGTCTGCCTTCCCTTCCGGCCAGTCGAAGTGCTTCAGCACCGCCCTCTCGTCCACCTGCACGCTCGTAGCGTCCAGTGAAAACAAAGTTAGCTGGTCGC